AATTCTTGAGTTTATATTGAAATCTTTGACATGTGGTATAATGGCAAATCTGAGCATCATTCATGGCAGTGTTGGGATCTCATCTAAAGCACGGGAGGAGACATGTGTGAGATTACCAGGGTCTTTTGCCTCAGAAGAACAGCTGAGAAGCAGGACACTGAGAAGTAAATCTCTATTTAATTCAGTGTAGGTATTGTAAACTAAAACTATTAAAAGTAGTTCTCGTTAATTGGTATGAAGCTGAAATTAAATAATTATTAATGAAAAAAAAAAAAAAAAATTAAATGTTAGAAATAAAACAATGTTTAACTGAAATAAAATACGTTTAAGCTGAAGTACTAAATTTACTAAAAATAAAACTGTAATATAAAAAAAAAATCACAAAACAAAATGACTAAATTATGCTAAAATTAAAATGGAAAAAAACGAAAATACAAAAATAAAAGCTAATAAAAAATACTATAATAGTATAAATATGAATAATACTAAAATTAATTCTTGATTTAGCACCTAATATTACTTTGTTGAGAAAAAAAAATCAGGCCAATAAACAGGGAACAAGACTATTGGAGTACATTTGACAAGAAAATTATATTTCAGGTTTTTTTTTTTTTTCAGTTGTACTTCAAATTTTCACATTTATTTCAATATTACTTGCCAGTGCTTTGTAATTGTTTGTGAAATTTACTTTCTGAGTGAAAATTGTTTCTACACCAGATATTTCTCAGTGTATGATGACTCTTTGTAATTAATGTGACTGTATTTTATTGGATCCTGTGATTTAAGAACTTCTTTACGAGTGTGTGTATTTGCTGGGGGAAGATCACTGGTAAAGTGTACTTGACATTCTATGTTATATCAGTTTGCCGCTGAAGTGGGACATTTTTTGTGTACGTCTATGCATATGTGAGTGTGTGTGTAGAGTTGCATTTCAGTGAGCTGCTTGGTTTCAGGTTCAGTGGCTCTGGGTGGTTATGTCACAGCCTCGAGCGTGCCTGACTGACATCTCCCAGGAGTGCCGTTTGTCTGCTGAAGTATAACAAGTGCCAGTTACTCTGTACTGTTTGCTGGCAGCCAATCAAAATGAAATGGGAGCACTTAACACGGGCTGGTCGTGTTCCCCTAGCACCTGCCATGTGAGGAAAGAGGGAGCAGTGTTTTTCCTCATCCTGTTTGGCTTTTGTTTTGAAGTCGATTAAATATGGCATCTACTTTAGTGGTTTTAAAAAGTTGGTGACGTTTGCAGCTGAAGTTTTTCTGCAGTGCAAATGGACACAGCACAAACCACAGGGCAGAACATCATTCCATTCCAACACTCGGGCCGTGCCTAGAGCCGCTGTATACATAATCTGATTTAGTCTAGATGTGTGTGTTCTTTGTCTACTGAATAAATGAATGCAAGCTAAGGAAAAATGACAAAGAAAACTGCAGAAGACAATTGATGTAAAGCTGTAATGTTCATTATTTGCCTCCTTTTGGATGTGATTAAATGCCAATCTCATAATGCAGTGCTACTCTGTCACTCTCTTTTTCTCTCTCTCTTGCACTCGCGAACCGCATGAACCGCTGCTTAAAGGGAAAGTTCGTCCAAAAATTACAATTCTGTCACTCACTCACCCTCATTTTGTTCCAAACCTGTATGACTTTCTTTCTTCCATGCAGCAAAACAGGAATTGTTTTGAAGAATGTTCACACTGCTCTCTTTCATACAAGTGGATGGGTTCCAAAAAGGACAAAAAAGCACCATAAACGCACAAAAAGTAATTCATATGACTCATGCGCTATATTCCAAGACATTCTAAACAATATAATAGCTTTGGCTGAGTAACAGACCAGTGTTGTTATTGTTAACTGAAACAAAAGTATTAACAATCATTTTGTTAATCGAAATAAAGCTGAAATAGGATAAAATATTACATGAAAAACTTAAAAAACTTCAATGGAATTTAGAAATGTTGCTTTGGCAACTAACTGAAATAAAATAAGATGAATTACTAAAATTACTAAAACTGAAATAAAATAAATTTAATCTAAATAAAGATATAATAAAATAGCAAAAGCATTTAACAAAATTACTAAAACGTACTCTAATATTAGAATGAAAACTGAAAATATGAAAATAAAAGCTAGTTCAAAATATTAATAAACACTGGAACAGACTAAAATTTTAGTAATTGCTAAGAGAAAATCTTGCTTTAGTCACAATTAAAGAAAAGAGGAGTGTGGATATTCTCCTTTTATGTTCCACAGTCAAAAGAAAGTCTTTAGAAAGACTTTAAGGTGAGTAAGGCCGCGTGTCCACTGAAGCGTTTTTGCCAGCTGAAAACGCCAGGCACTCTGCTGAGAACACCCAGCTGTGAGAGCATGAGAGCGCAGCGTTTTTTTCAGTTGAGATTCTGTGGTTGTTTTAATACGGAATATCCGCTGAAGTAATTTGGCAGACACATAACGAATGAAATTTTTCTCCAAGCATTATTTTTTATAATAATATTGTGGTAGTCCAGCAATTCCATCTGGTACAGTTATGAATACTCTGAGACAAGCAACTTCTCCATTGTTGTTCAGTCGTAGTACAAGCAGCATGTGAAGGTTGGTCGGTGTGTTATTAGTCCCGCCCCTCCTCCACTGTGATTGGTTAGCTGACTAAAAAGTGACAGTGATGAGCACTGCGTTGTACCCAAAGTTGAACATTCTTCAACTGTCGGCGCCGAGAAAAAGATGAAAAAGATGCTCAGCGCTCTGCATGCTCCTGGTGTCAAAAACATGGCGCTCCCATTGAAAACAATTGAAAAAATACGCTAGCCTCGAGAAAAAAATCGCTTTGGTGTACACACGGCCTAAATAACGACAGCATTTTTATATACCTGCCTGCTGTGCTTCTTAAGTGCTTTTGAACACAAATAAAACGCATAATTTATGAAAGCTCCATTGCATCTGTATGGTTTTGAGAAACACATGACAGTTATGTAATAAACACTTCATGAAATAGTGGCATAGTCATTACTCAGAGCGCAGCATCCAGAGGTTTACAGACCCTCTTCATTATACCTCCACCCATCTTCTCTATCTTTTCCCCCTCTCTTTTTTTGCTCAACCATCGAGAAGGCATTTCATTAAATATTCAAAAGAATCTGTTCAAACAGGATCATAAATAATGCTTCTCTCCCAGTTGTGACACAAAGTGATGAACCTTTTTATCGCAAGTTTTTTCAGAAGTGATCTTAAAGAGAATAATCACGTCTTTTGTTCACAGGAGAGCTAATTGCACTTCGGCGAGGGGCGTTTCACTGCGGTGCTGTTTTTTCTTTCTTTCTCTACCCCCCCTCCCCTCTATCTCGCTCTCTCTGTCACCAGCATGTCAGTATAATTGAATTTCTGCACACGTTCCCCTTTTTCATCAATCACACGTGCTGATAAGGTGGGTTTAGGAGGGACACTCAGGCGGAGCCCAGAGAGAGGGTACTGAAAGAAGTAAAAAAAGAGAAGCAGACAGGAGCAAAGGGAGGTGAAAGGAGAGAATGAATAAGGAAAGAAAAAGGCACTGAATGAAATGAAAACAGAGAGAAAGACTGTGATCCTGTGGAGTTGTGTAACTAGCGACGGTGGTGCTGCAGTGCAGGGCTCTGTCTCTGGGTATGTTCACCTGAAAGTGCCCTGCAAAGTGGATTCACAAGGAATTTAGTGAGATTCCAAATCATAGGGAGGGTAAATGTTCAGTCCGTAGGGCATTCGCTTCACAGGAAGTGGAGAATTTACCAACCAGTCATTGCTTAACACCTGATTACTAAACTGATTTTGGTTAAAATAAACACAAGTGAAAAGGAGCTGATGCACCAGTGTAGTTTTTTTGAACTAAAATTCGAACTATGAATCTGGAAACAGCTTATTTCTCACTCTGAGATGCCCAAAATGAAGCTAAATCTCATTTAAACTTTCAGTATCACCCACATCATTAATTCAGTATAAAACCAACTGAAATCAATGTGGAAAGTCCCTATAATGATAGAAAAACAAATGTGTGTGCTTGACCTTTTGTGTTCTTAAGCGTATCACAGATTTAGTTTATCCCACCCCCCCCTTTTTTTTGTTGTTTTGTGATGAGCGTCAGTGTACCATACTGCCAGTGAAATGTCTCTGTTTTAATGTATTAAGAAGTTAAAGGGCCCAGCAAACTTTCAAGGGGACCTCAAGATTTAAAACGAAGCAAAACACGCATTAAAATGAGCTAAAACAACAACACATAAAATATATTGATTTTAGTTCATATTAAAATATTGAATAACATATATTTATATATTAACCTTGATATATATAGCCTGATTTTAAAAGTGTGATTTCTAGACCTGGATAAGTAAATTAAATTAATGTAAATTAATAAAATCTTATAACTTGGATCTTTATAATGAACGTACATTTTTCTAATGCAAAGCGCTCAAATATATAAAAAAAAAAATCTTAAAAATTCTTAATCCTTATCCAGTGAATCACAAATAACTGGACAAGTCATGGGGCCTTTGCATATTGATGAGGGCCTTGGAGTCAAAAAGTTTGAGAACAACTGTAATACTGCATTATTATTATTAAAATACTGTATTCTCTAACTTTCTAAAGCCAGGACAAATTATTTCATGGTTTCCACTGTTATGGAAAACCTCACAATTCAATTAGTTAAAAAAATTATGATTTCTAAACTTTTAAAAATGGTAAAAGATATGAAATTAATGAAAGGAATCAATGGTTATTGTTAACTTTATACTGAATGTAAATGTATCTGTTAAAGCCAAATCCTCCACTGAGCTGAATTTAAATCTCTAGCCTTTATCTCTGGCTTTTGTATACAAATAAGTATAATTATGTAAGCATTTTCATTCCATGTATTGGGATTTGACATACACATGGAAAGCAATCCAGCAATCTTTATAAACTGATTTCAAAAATACAGTACTTATGCAGTAATCATAAATGGCAGGACAAGTCATAGAAATTCATTTTTGTCAAAAATGCCGGAAACCCTGCAGTTTCATATTTGGGACAGAATTTCTTCAGCAAAGGTAGGACAGATGGTGAAGTTCAGTTCTGTCTCTTTAACTACAGTACTGCTCTGTGTATATCAGCGTTGCTCTTTCTCTCTCTTTCTTCCTTTGGCTCCACTCATTTGCTTTATTCACTAAGAGCTCTGTGGCACACTAAAAATGAGCTCATGAAGCAGCTCTTGAGACCGAGCCTTTGAAAAACGGTGCAAAAAATTGGCATTAGCAGCAACACCATTATGCTACTTGGTGGCGTACCACTCCATCAAAACCGAATTGACAATTTATAGAGTTTACAAAGTCACAATTTAACGAAGTGGAGCCGGGCTGGGCGCTGTGATTGCGTTAGCGCTGTGTGGCTCGTCTGTGTTATTAGACTAACTGTGCCGTGTTTGCTCCACTGCTGGCAATGACATGAGCTGTGGGGATAACACCGGCCACCCCTGAGGCGGCCCTCTGAAGCGCTTCAGATTATCCACACACTCACTCACATACAAAATGGTATACTTACTGTAGATTATATACATGCGCTCTCATTTCTTGTTCAGTCGTTGACACCAACCTATATTGGCGGATCATGTCTCCTCGTATTGGAGGTCTAATCAGGATAACAGGCATGATGGTCCATCAAACAGGGCTTTAGAGAAATTGTGGCCACTTGTTCTTGCTGCTAGATGCTCTAATTTGAATATCTTAGCCATTGTTTCTGAACAGAGATCTCTAAATGCCTCAAATGTGTCTGAGAGCTCACGCTGTTGAGATGCCAAAAGAGCACCTCAGATGCTCTTAGCGGTTATTGATGTGATTCCTTGCATTTGGTTTTCTCAGAAATAACACATTCGGTCTGTCAAGTTTGTCGGATGCTTTTAGATTTAAAACAGTGCGAGTACACAAGGAAAATTAAGTGTTTTTGATGCGGTGCTGTGAAGCTTGGAGCTCGCAATTAAACATTTTTTGCATCACAATTAGAAAAGAACACTAGTATAAGGCTTTACGAAATGAAAGATGTGCAGAAGGATTGATGTTAAACCCCAGTATCACCTTCAATAAAGGAGTCAACAAAGATCTGCAGATGGTCTTAAGAATGTCTTTTGAGAAATATCTCCACTCCAAATCTTGTTTTTTCAGATCTGCTTCGAAATATGATACAGCACGGTTCCTATTTCTGAGCAAACAATATAGCTTTATCGCCTCTGGCTGGTAATGGCATCCTGTTATATGAAGAAAATGGCATTGAGAAAGCTCAGCAGCAGACAGGATGGTGCAGATCCTCAGGAAAGCGGGTGGGAAATTAGAAACTAATATTGCTACGCTCCAGTCAAATGCACACAAATCTTCTTTCACACCTCTGAACACATGCCTTTCGTGTCACACTCGGTGCTTGGTTGTGAAATTACATTTAGGCAACAATGCAAAATCTTTATAAATGTACTTTACGAATCATACTTTTCATGCTGCAGTTGTGGCTATTATTTATATTCAAATTATTATACAATTATATTATGCTAAATATAATATAATATAATACTGTATAATATAATATAATATAATATAATATACTGTAATAATGTTTCACATCACACAATAGAATATATTTGTATACATCAAACTGTGCTGTGCTGATGCTGATTAACAAATCAGTCTTCCATAAGACCCTTTTATTTCTTTTCTTAGCTCTCACTTTATAATTATTCGTTTCATCCTTGTTGCAGAAAGAGACCACATTGTTTTTAACATGAAACAATTACTCCCTTCCTCTCTTTCCATCATCTCCTGAGTTCATCTGAGTGAGGTCAACTAGTGCTCACTCTGAACAGTCTAAATGTTCACCCCACACACACTGCGCCCAGTAGACCCATTATTATGAGGGTCATATTTTCTTAACCCTGCACTTCAAGAGTTGACGGACAACTGTGGGGAGCTGTTTTGAGTGGCAATTTTTTTTTCAGATCTGGGGATGTCAATGAATATGGAGCAGATTATTTTACATTTATGGAATAATGGCATAAAGATTACTCAGCTTGAACTGCCCGAGTAATCTTTATGCCATTATTCCATAAATGTAAAATAATCTGCTCCATATTCATTGACATCCCCAGATCTGAAAAAAAAAGTTGCCACTCAAAACTGTGCCACTTTAAGATAACATCATGATAACCTTTGAGGAATAATTAAAATCTTTCCAAGGTGAGGCTGTGAAAATAATTTAGGACTGTCTTGTCGTCCATCCATCACTTAAGCAAATGTGTCTAGTCTCACAGGGGCCACTTCACATAACAGTGCAACTGTTGCACAACAGTATTTCATTGCAAAAGCCATTGTTTTATCAAGTTTAACTAGGTGCCAGATTCAAAATAACATTTCGTATTTAAATTTACCCAAAATTCATAAATCTTGTATTTGAGCCTCAGCAGTGTTATTTATATATTTATTTTAAATTAAATATTCTATAGATGCAATGCATATGCATTTTCTGTGAAATTCTGGTTCACAGTATTTGTATTCTTACTATTTTTTAGTTATGTCAATAATATATAGATAGATAGATAGATAGATGGATAGATGGATAGATAGATAGAAGAAGATTTGTGTTCATTTGTGCCGTGGATGCGTGTGTGAAGTGTTATCCACAGTTATCTTGTGTTTACTTTGCAGCACCACTGTCTATTTAGTTTCTCCAGTGTGTGAAATTGGCAATGTCAAGCCGAGCATCCCAAAAATAGCGAAAAAACCAAGTGAAACGTTTCTCCTCCCAACATACACAGACTCACAACGTGTTGTTTCCTACAGACATCTTTCACACATGCACACAAAGACAGATGCCTCATCTTACATCTGTATTCAGTCATTGGCTACCTTTCAGTTACCATTTATGAGGCTGCAGTAATTGGTTTGACATTGAAATGGTGATGGGAAAAATAGCGTCCACAAGACTGAGAAGCTTAATGAAAGCTTGTCGCATTCCTTATACAAGCTTCCGATCCTCTCACTCATAAAATGAGTGAAAAGTTTGAACTCAAGAGTATGAATCTAAAAACGATTGTGTCCTTTGTGCCTCAGAGGGCCAGTTAAAGCTGTGGAATTGTGGGACGCTGGAGGGAATAGTTCGAAAGGCACATGGGGATTGAATCTGCTCAGCCAGAAAGAACTGGCTCAGTGCATCATTATGATTAGACAATGAGTTCATCAAGGCCAGAGCTGCACATATCAGATGGATCTCAAAAGAGTTAAAGAACCAGAAAAGCTCTTCTCTTTCCTTTTTGACTCGTTACATTTTAATAAAGAATCTTATGAACTTTTGTTAACTCTGTCACTCTGTAATATTGAGTTCAGAACTCTCAAAATATTTAAATGGCCTCTCTATTCTGGCTGTTCTAGTGTATGTGAGGGAATTATTTAATTTTAACTGTTGTGTTTTCAATTGGAAGTTTATTAGTGATGCACTAATATTAAAATTCTACCTGACACAATAAGATAATTATTTCCATGCTATGGCCAAATTATTCAATTTATAAATTATTAATAATATTATGATTAAATTATTAAAAAACATTTTTAAAGATTAATTGTAAGTGAACTTTAGATTACAGTAAAGGTAAACTGTATATATAAATAGGCCGACAACTAAACTGGTACCGATATATTGTGCATCCCTAATGTTGACAGCTGAAAACCTATATTTATCATGTTGTTAACAGTTCTTTTTGTCTTTCTTTGTTCAACAGGATGAAAAATCTACATTCTTCCAGTTCGGGGCCTCCATCCAGCAGGAGGCGCTGCTCATGCTCAACATCATGGAAGAGTACGACTGGCATGTCTTCTCCATAGTGACCAGCAAGTTCCCGGGCTACCAGGATTTCACTGCCATCCTGAAGATCACGGTTGACAACAGCTTTGTTGGTTGGGACCTCCAGCACACCATCACCCTGGACGCCGTAGACGGGGACTCCAGGACCCAGATCCAGCTGAAAAAGGTGCAGTCTCCAGTCATCCTTTTGTACTGCTCCAAGGACGAGGCGGGTTACATCTTGGAGGAGGCCCGATCACTGGGTCTGACCGGTTTCGGCTACATCTGGATCGTGCCCAGCTTGACCACGGGCAACCCAGGCATCACTCCAGATTCATTCCCCTCTGGAATGATCTCTGTATCCTACGATGACTGGGACTATCCTCTTGAGGCACGGGTTCGAGATGGGCTTGGGATTATAACCACGGCAGCTGCAGCCATGTTGGAAGAGTTTGGGGACATCCCGGAGGCCAAAACCAGCTGCTATGGCCAAATGGAAAAAACCAAGTTGCCACCCAGCGCGTTACACAAGTGAGTGAAAGATGAGAGCTGGGCTATTATCCGAGTGTCAGTGGTATGTTAGTGTTTTCTGTCAACAGCCTGTCCATCCAGTTCCTCCACTTTAAAAGTGGAAACACAAAAGTGGAAACAAAAGGGCTATTTATTTGGGAAAACACAGTTTTTGATCAGTCAATTGGAAAAAGGAAAAGGTGGAAAAAAACAACCCAAGAGGTCTCTGTTAGAGACATAGGGCATATAGGGCATTTGCAAAAAATAAGTCTCAGTTTTTTAATGATAGACCTAATGTGTCTCTAGGTGGCTGTCATTAAATTCCAAGTGATCTTTAAAGATTCCAAACAAAGTTTAATTAATACAATTTTAAAAATATAATGCAAATATCATACACTCACAGAAGTATTAATTTCTTAAACAAGCAAACAAAGACTGTTCATTTTTTACCTTTTCACATTGGTTAACTTTCCTGAGATAAATGTGGTGATAAGTTGTTATTTCATTGGCATTTTTCCGCAGTTTAAACACAAATCACATGAGATGTAATACATTAAAGCACATCAAAACATTTTTTAGTTTGAATGTCCTGATAAAATGGACGTGCCTTGAAAGCTGATACTTTTTTTTATCAAAAAATAAGTCACAAAAGTGAGTGAGGGAGCAGAACCAGCTTATTGTGTGTGTGTGTTGGTCTTGTTCGTGCAGTTAAAAAGTGGAAACAAGAGGGCTATTTATGTGAGCAAATACAGTTTTTGGTCAGTCAGGTGGAAAAAGAAAACTAGGGGGTGGAAAAAGTAACCCAAGAGGTCTGTAAGAGACAGGCATGGGTTAGGCATATGCAAAATGTATTGTTACATCCTGCTAATATGTTTCCCAGCATGAGCTGCATTCTTGAGTAAGTTAATGGTGAGGGGGCAGACGGGAAACGCTAAGGGAGGTTTTTAGGGAGTTGCAGAGCACTGGTCAGACACCCAGAGGTGGGTACTGCTGCCCTTCTCAAACTCTCTCGGGACGGCGCAGTGCAGCGCTCCTGTGCTTTTAATGAATAATGTTTTACACAGGGCAGAACAACATGGAGACTTTGCTAATACGCTTGGAGAACTCTCCAAATATAAAGTGCTCTTAATGAGCCAGGGTGCTTTTGTTCCTTTTGCTCCTGCTTTGGAGCCGGTGCCGGCTGCAGCACCCTGCTGCCAGTCCTTAGTCTGTCTCACCCATATGCCTCTGTAGTACCTGCCAGTGCTGAGCAGACACGCTGAATTACCCCATTTGCAGTGGAGTGGTGTTGCCTGAGTTACACTTTCACCCTGGTGTCTAGGGTACATTAATCCTGATAGTCTCAGCACAGATGGTCAAAGGCTTGGCCAGAGATGGGCTCTACTAGAGCCAGCAGAGAAGAGGACTCGTGCCCTGACTGCATTGGGTCTCCTTTGTATTTAGACATTTTAGACATATAGATCATCAGATGGAGGGTATCAGATTCTTTGAAAATATGGTCTTGTTCTTGGATTGATAATTCCCACAAAATAGCCAAGTCAAAATGTTTCTGTAAATATTAGATTTTCTGTACATTTTGTTAGATTTAGACTCACTACTCCATCATTTTAAATCACTTGAATCACACAGAAACACATTTGGAGTTTTATGCACTAGCTTTCTAATGATACAGTTACTGTGTTTAATATTCTAATGATAGATATATGATAGAAGTATAGAATATAGAATGTCTTTATGGATAGAATTGTATTGTTTTTGAATCTTTTAGAAATAGGCTGTCAAAACGCCTCTAAAGTTGGACTTGAAAAATTCCAAACAATTTTTAGCAATTTTTTTTGACATAATTCGAACATACATTAAACAATTAAGACGTTAATAAAAAATTTAAATATAAAAATATAATGAAAGTTCATATATATTTTAATGTGGCTCATGAAACATTTCTTATTAGTATCAATGCTGAAAGTTTAAAGTTTTTTAAAAATATTTTTGTAGAAATCAATTTTCAGGATTCTTTGATTAATAAAAAGTTCAAAAGAGCAGCATTTATTTGAAACAGTAGTCTTTTGCAACAATATAACTGTCTTTACTATTTTTGATTAACTTAATGCGTCCTTGCTGAATAAAAGTATTTATTTCTTTCAAATTCTAAATTTAGAATGACTCATATGACTGATGATTTATATTTGCATTTTTCTTATAATCTTAATTAGATTAGAAGCTGAATAAAAGTATTTATTTCTTTCAAATTCTAAATTTAGAATGACTCAGATTTATATTTGCATTTTTCTTATAATCTTAATAATTATTATTATTGCTAATGTTTGTGCAGAAAATTATATAAAATCCTATCTATATATACATTATATCTATATTTAAGCTGTGAATATAAGGAATGTATTTGGCACAGCATTTTTCTTTGGGGTGAAAAAAAAACTGGCAAGTGAACCTCTCTCTGCATTTCATGCTCTTGTTAAAATTGAGTGTCAGAAACCTAGGTGAAATATGCGGTCCCCAAGCAAAATTTTCCTTTATGACAGATTTAAGACTGTCATCTGAAGTACTATGAAAAGCGGACCTTAGCAAAATGTATCTTTCATATATCAGTGACGAATACTGAAATTACCTGTCAACAGGGGAGAGGCATGGCGAGTCCAGTGTGCCTCCTCCCCTGTGTTGGGGACCAAGGGTAGCTGTCAGCTGTGCTCTCTGCAACCATACATTTCTGAAATAAAGGGCACTTTAAACACTCCCACTGAGACGGAAGCCAATCTGACCACCCCCAGCAAAACACCATCTCACAGAGGGCAGTGCCACAGGAGTCACCGCTATTACTTTGAACTTTCATGGGCAAAATTAAATATGACTTATGGCAGTTATAATTCTGGAATTTGAGCTGGAGTAGGCTAAGCATTTCCAAGCAGTGGCAACAGGTCATTCTATCGTGGGGAGGGTTAACAGCTATGTAATTGGCACCTTGGCCTTAAAGGACCCGAGCCGTACCATCTCCTCAAAGCCTTTGTGTTTTGGAATGAAGGGAAATATGAGCTCCTGTGGAAATAGTACTTTTATATGGCCATCACAGCGCATTAAAGCGATTTAAGTTGGCAGGCAGCAGCACAATGGGAAGCATTATGAAGAGCTGGGTTTAAATAACTTGAGCCTCTGCCGTCCTCCCTATGGTGAAGAAAGCATTGTTTTTTAAAGAGTCAAAGAGTGGCCCAGACCTCAGAAAACTAGCCAGTCGAAACCCTCTCTGGTCATTTTTTTTTGTAATGTTTGGGCTTGCTGACTTGTCAGTGGAGGGAGGATTTGTAGAGGATATATAACTGAACTTAGCAAAATGGCTGAAATGCTTTACAGAAGTTTTTTTTTTTTAAGTTTAAATGCTAAGGACCTGCTAATATGATGCATTTATGTAAGTTCATGAATAAAGACACATGTTATTTGTCATCACACAAAGTAAATTATTGCAATATCTGGAAAATAATCTATAAGGTTATTCACAAATATATATTGCCATTTAGTGCAAATGCAAACAAAAGTTGTGTATAAAAGAAAAAAAGATACCTACAGTGGGTACGGAAAGTATTCAGACCCCCTTAAATTTTTCACTCTTTGTTATATTGCAGCCATTTGCTAAAATCATTTAAGTTAATTTTTTTTCCTCATTAATGTACACACAGCACCCCATATTGACAGAAAAACACAGAATTGTTGACATTTTTGCAGATTTATTAAAAAAGAAAAACTGAAATATCACATAGTCCTAAGTATTCAGACCCTTTGCTCAGTATTTAGTAGAAGCACCCTTTTGATCTAACACAGCCATGAGTCTTTTTGGGAAAGATGCAACAAGTTATATATATATATATATATATATATACATACAGTATATATATATATATATATATATATATAAACTTGTACTTTTACTTTATTTAGCATTTGTATATTTTGTTTCAAAGCAACTTTTTATTTGTTTCAAACATAGGATTTTTACTTAAATAATTAAGTAAATAATTCAATCTTAATTATCTTGCTGTTAAATGAATTTTCCCATCTCATATTTTCTTGCAGACACCCTTGCAGTGCTCTGGCGGTCCTTGGACCCCAGTTTGAAAACCCTTGGCTATACAGCACCTTCACACAGGCACTAGTGAGATGGTTAATGGTTATCAGACTTTTACTTCTGTTCTTGTGTCTACAGTAAAATAAAGGCACTCAGACAGAACACATAAACTGCTTCACTGAATATGGTGGAATGATCTGGTCAAGGGTGAGAGTATGTAGAGAGAATCGACGAGAAGATTGTTTTAAAATTTTTGTCTATGGTCAAAATCCATAAGGCCTAGAATCCATTTTTACGCAAGCATGGCAATAGGTAGCATGTTCGGGTAATGTTTTTATTTTAAAACCTTTGGCTGGAAGGACTTTAATTGACCTGAAGGTGGCCTCAAGGGGGAGGAGAGAGATTAAACACACAGAGACCCACCAGTCCCTCCATTCTCCTCACACGTGCCGTCAGGAGCATATTTTCTCTTATATGGCTCGCCGTGCCCCACTTTGTATCAGATGCACTTAGTAGCGCAGGTTTACACATGCACTCATTCTGCCATTCCCTGGGTCTGTGTAACGTCTGCCTGAGCCCCAGGTGAAAAGACCTCGACAGTCCCAGCTGTCCTGGTATTGTCGTACAGATGCGATGCTCTCTTATGACATTGATTGAGCCTAGCACAGATACCTGTGTCAGAAAAACTATTGGATTAGTTTGTATATCACGTCTGGAGTTATTACTCAAGGGAGAGTTGATTTCATTTACACATTCCGTCATGCCAGTGGGTTCGGCTCAAGAAGTGCAGACTCCTCGCAAATTAACTAACTTCATGTAGGAACATTTTCTTGCTTCTCTAATGACTGAAAAATGTTATATGTCACATAGGGAACATCTTGCCTGCCCTCATTAGTGTCAACCCCGTTACTATAAATGCCTAACGAGGAACTGTTATATTCGACCACAC